TGGGTGGCTCAGTCGGTTAAGTATCTGACTCTTGGTTTTGGCTCGGGTCATGATCTTGCGGTTTGTGAGTTCAAGCCCCTCATCAGGCTCTGTGCTGATGGTGTGGAGCCTGCTTGGGATTCTATCTGCCCCTTCCCCACTCAGGATAAATAAACTTTAAAAATTTTTTTAAAAAAGAAGTAGAATTTCTAGGCCAATGGATGTGACCAGTAAAACATTGAGAGAGGTGGTCCTATTTCCCTCTAAAAACAGATCTACTTTGAAAGTTGCACAACATGTTAAAGGAGCCGCAGGTATAGTAATGTAGTGTCCAGGAATGTAGCACAAGAAAATAGTCCAAAATTTGTAAAAAGTGTAAATATGCTCTTTCACATTTTTGTTTAGAGTAGCAAAAATATTAGAAGCAACTTTTAAATATCTAACAGTGGGGAAATGGTTAAACAAATCGTTACATCCATCTGGACCATTTTTGAAGTCTTAAAAACCATGGTTAGAGAGACTAATAGTTTATGTCATTGTCGGATGAAGAAGCAGAATTAAAAACCATATATTCCCTATAATTACAACTAAACATGAAATAGCACACGTGTAACAAGTAGAGGGGAAAGAAATAGAGAAGGCAAATAAGACAGCTCTGTCAGGGCAGTAGAACGAAGGAATGATTTTTCCCCCTCAATTGTACATTGTATTACTTTTAGGATTAACAAAAGTATTTATAGGGGCGCCTGGGTGGTTCGGTCGGTTGAGCATCCCACTTGGGCTCAGGTCATGATCTCACGGTTCATGGGTTTGAGCCCTGCGTCGGGCTCCGTGCTGACAGCTCAGAGCCTGGAGCCTGCTTTGGATTCTGTGTCTCCCTCTCTCTCTGCCCCTCCCCTGCTCACACTCTGTCTCTCTCTGTGTGTCTCTCTCAAAAATGAATAAACATTTTAAAACATTTTAAAGTATAAAAATATGGCTGCCTCAAGATAAAGTAATATTTGTGGAAGAGATGAGCTAGGATATCAATCCAGAGGCCAGTGTTTGACAAGAAAAAATAAGCCTCTCGTGTATTCTCAGCCCACCATGCTTTCATGTGTTCCTGTATATTTTAGTGATTAAAGAACATAATCATGACTAGTGTGAGTCTTGAGTTTACATGAATGAATCCAGGGAAGGCAGTCTTAGGAGGCATGGCGTAGATTTTTTTTTTTGTTCCAGCCAGCATTTTGAAAGCTGTCACCAGGCAGAAAGAAGATTGTAGCAGCAAGATTCTTTTCTCCAGCCAGCTGCTACATTTTCCTGTTCTTGTGTGGTCAAATCTCATTTATGGTGGTGAGGCCCTTTATGTATGGGCAAGATAGCATGACATTAGAGGCCATTTCTTATTTATTAAAATAATAATTTTTTAACCTAACTGGGGAGGCATGAGAAGAACTTGGTATACATGGTGTAGCAAGCCCATTTTTCAGCCTTGAACCTTAAAACACACACACACACACACACACACACACACACACACACACACACACTGCAGTAACCACAGGGAGAATTCATTATATATTCCTAGGAATGTGTTTTTTCTCCTTCGTCTCTTTGACATGACTTATATGATATCTTTGAGTCTAGACTTTTTATAAAAACCCTCAGACCTCAATTAACTGAGATGAGAACTGATTTAGTAATGGTAGGTACTCTCGCCAGACACCTGCTGGCAACAGTGATTTTCTCCGCCATTTCTGTTGGGCGACTGTTCTAAAAAGAAGCATTTTTAGACCAGGTTTGGACTGTAGGTTCAAGATGGAGAGCGTCTCCTGTAATTGTCTGTCTTAGCTTCTTGCAGAATGACTTTTCTTTCAGAAGTTTGAGGTGGAGATCCAGCTGGGCAAGCTAAAAGTACGGTCAAGTGGATTCAAATTCCTTGGATGGACTTTCAGGCCCATTTGCCTGTAAAGTCCATTTCAGTGGGTGAATGGATGTTAGGCATAGGGCCCATTCTGGTATTCTAAAAGTCGACAGGGAAAACAAAATGTGACCTGGTTGAGTACTGAACAGTATTGAGCAGTATTCTTTATATTCTTATCCCTCTGCTGGAAATAAGTGGAATTTTTCATTAGTTTCTTCACATTAGTGTGTCAGGGCTTGTAGGCACTGAGTGCTAGTAAGTCTTAAACAGAGTCCTGAAAGAATAGTGCTGCACAGGATGTTGTCGCTGGAGGAAAAGCCTTGGTGCAACTTCATATAGAGGACCGTAAAACATTCTGTCCCCTGAAAATGTCATTTACATAAAAGCGGAGTTTTCTTGCTAGTTGCATCCACCACAGGGCATTTTGGTAACCTTTTGTCCTTGTTTTGGCAATTCGAATAGAAAGTTTTTGTCCTCTCCCCCACACCCCCCACCCTGACCCCAATTTCATCTTTCAAGCTCTGCTACACCAGATGATGTATTTATTTATTTATTTTTATTTTTATTTTTTTTTACATTGTTTTTAAAGTAAAACCTGCTTCTGGAAGTAAAAACAGTCACTCTTTTGTAGCTCAATAGTGGCATACCAGCCAGCCGGAGACAACAGCCACACCTTTGATGTCACAGCCATGTTCAAGTCCATTGGGATTTTCCTTGGGATCTTCAGTGGATCTTTCGCAATGGGTGCCGCTACTGGCGTGGTGACAGCTTTAATATCCTTTTATTAATTTTCCTTGTTAACCTAACAAAGTGGTTGAATACTGTATTCCACGGTCTCTCCTAATTCCATAATTGTCACTGTGTTATAATTATTAACCTTATTTTTTTTTTTTCAACGTTT